CACTGAAATACCCGTTGAAAAAGTCTAAGGTGAGTGAGCATAATATTTCATTAGTTACAATGCGCCACGCATATGATAGCAGGAGAGAGACAATGAGAGAAGAGAGAGACAAGAGCAGAGACAGACACACACCACAAGATAAGACAGAAGACACGACAGACCAAAGACAGATATGAAATTAATTAATTTCGCGATCGTCAGAGTAAAATGAAAGAAAATTAACGTTGTTCTGCAAGACTATCGTGCACAGTGTTCCACAACAACACTATCCGTGCACAGTGCTCCACAACAACACTATCCGTGCACAGTGTTCCACAACAACACTATCCGTGCACAGTGTTCCACAACAAGACTATCGTGCACAGTGCTCCACAACAAGACTATCGTGCACAGTGTTCCACAACAACACTATCCGTGCACAGTGCTCCACAACAACACTATCCGTGCACAGTGTTCCACAACAAGACTATCGTGCACAGTGCTCCACAACAAGACTATCGTGCACAGTGTTCCACAACAAGACTATCGTGCACAGTGTTCCACAACAAGACTATCGTGCACAGTGTTCCACAACAACACTATCCGTGCACAGTGCTCCACAACAAGACTATCGTGTACAGTGTTCCACAACAACACTATCCGTGCACAGTGCTCCACAACAAGACTATCCGTGCACAGTGCTCCACAACAACACTATCCGTGCACAGTGCTCCACAACAACACTATCCGTGTACAATGCTCCACAATAAGACTATCCGTGCACAGTGCTCCACAACAACACTATCCGTGCACAGTGCTCCACAATAAGACTATCCGTGCACAGTGCTCCACAACAACACTATCCGTGCACAGTGCTCCACAATAAGACTATCCGTGCACAGTGCTCCACAATAAGACTATCCGTGCTCAGTGCTCCCCAACAACACTGTCGTTGCACAGTGCTCCACAAGACTATCCGTACACTGTGCTCCACAACAACACTATCCGTGCACAGTGCTCCATAACAAGACTATCCGTGCACGGTGCTCCACAACAACACTATCCGTGCACAGTGCTCCCAACAACACTGTCCGTGCACAGTGCTCCACAAGACTATCCGTACACTGTGCTCCACAGCAAGACTATCCGTGCACAGTGCTCCACAACACGACTATCCGTGCACAGTGCTCCACAACAAGACTATCCGTGCATAATGCTCCACAACAAGACTATCCGTGCACAGTGCTCCACAACAATACTATCCATGCATAGTGCTCCACATCAAGACTATCCGTGCACAGTGCTCCACAACAAGACTATCCGTGCACGGTGCTCCACAACAACACTATCCGTGCACAGTGCTCCACAACAAGACTATCCGTACACTGTGCTCCACAACAAGACTATCCGTGCACAGTGCTCCACAACAACACTATCCGTGCACAGTGCTCCACAATAACACTATCCGTGCACAGTGCTCCACAATAAGACTATCCGTGCACGGTGCTCCACAACACGACTGTCCGTGCACAGTGCTCCACAACAAGACTATCGTGCACAATGCTCCCACAAGACATTCCGTTGCACAGTGCTCCACACACAAGGATATCCGTGTGCACAGTGCTCCACAAGGACTATCCGTGCAACAGTGCTCCATAAACAAGATATCGTGCACAGTGCTCCACAACAAGACTATCCGTGCACAGTGCTCCACAACAAGACTATCCGTGCACAGTGCTCCACAACAAGACTATCCGTGCACAGTGCTCCACAACAAGACTATCCGTGCACAGTGCTCCACAAGAAAACTATTCTTGCCGTGATGAAGGTGTCAAGTAGAAGTGATGAAGGTGTCAACTAGATTTAATGAAGGTGTCAACTACAGGTGAAGGTGCCAAACAGAGGTGATAAAGGTGTCAGCTAGAGTGATGAAGGTGTCAGCTAGAGGTGATAAAGGTGTCAGCTAGAGGTGATGAAGGTGTCAGCTAGAGTGATGAAGGTGTCAACTAGAGGTGATGAAGGTGTCAACTAGAGGTGATGAAGGTGTCAACTAGAGGTGATGAAGGTGTCAGCTAGAGTGATGAGTGTGTCAACTAGAGGTGATGAAGGTGTCAACTAGAGGTGATGAAGGTGTCAACTAGAAGTGATGAAGGTGTCAACTAGAAGTGATGAAGGTGTCAACTAGAAGTGATGAAGGTGTCAACTAGAGGTGATGAAGGTGTCAACTAAGGAAGTGATGAAGGTGTCAACTAGAGTGATGAAGGTGTCAACTAGAGGTGATGAAGGTGTCAACTAGAAGTGATGAAGGTGTCAACTAGAAGTGATGAAGGTGTCAACTAGAGGTGATGAAGTGTCAACTAGAAGTGATGAAGGTGTCAACTAGAAGTGATGAAGGTGTCAACTAGAAGTGATGAAGGTGTCAACTAGAAGTGATGAAGGTGTCAACTAGAAGTGATGAAGGTGTCAACTAGAGGTGATGAAGGTGTCAACTAGAAGTGATGAAGGTGTCAACTAGAAGTGATGAAGGTGTCAACTAGAAGTGATGAAGGTGTCAACTAGAGTGATGAAGGTGTCAACTAGAAGTGATGAAGGTGTCAACTAGAAGTGATGAAGGTGTCAACTAGAGGTGATGAAGGTGTCAATAGAGGTGATGAAGGTGTCAACTAGAAGTGATGAAGGTGTCAACTAGAGTGATTGAAGGTGTCAACTAGAGGTGATGAAGGTGTCAACTAGAGGTGATGAAGGTGTCAACTAGAAGTGATGAAGGTGTCAACTAGAGGTGATGAAGGTGTCAACTAGAAGATAAATGAAGGTGTCAACTAGAAGTGTGATTGAAGGTGTCAACTAGAGTGATGAAGGTGTCAACTAGAGGTGATGAAGGTGTCAACTAAGTAGAAGTGCATGAAGGTGTCAACTAGAGGTGATGAAGGTGTCAACTAGAGTGATGAAGGTGTCAACTAGAAGTGATGAAGGTGTCAACTAGAGGTGATGAAGGTGTCAAATAGAAGTGATGAAGGGTGGTCAACTAGAAGTGATGAAGGTGTCAACTAGAGTGATGAAGGTGTCAACTAGAGGTGATGAAGGTGTCAACTAGAAGTGATGAAGGTGTCAACTAGAGGTGATGAAGGTGTCAGCTAGAGGTGATGAAGGTGTCAGCTAGAGTGATGAAGGTGTCAACTAGAAGTGATGAAGGTGTCACTAGAAGTGATGAAGGTGTCAACTAGAAGTGATGAAGGTGTCAACTAGAGGTGATGAAGGTGTCACTAGAGTGATGAAGGTGTCAACTAGAGGTGATGAAGGTGTCAACTAGAGTGATAAGGTGTCAACTAGAGGTGATGAAGGTGTCTTCAACTAGAGGTGATGAAGGTGTCAACTAGAAGTGATGAAGGTGTCAACTAGAGGTGATGAAGGTGTCAACTAGAAGTGATGAAGGTGTCAACTAGAGGTGATGAAGGTGTCAACTAGAGTGATGAAGGTGTCAACTAGAAGTGATGAAGGTGTCAACTAGAGGTGATGAAGGTGTCAACTAGAAGTGATGAAGGTGTCAACTAGAAGTGATGAAGGTGTCAACTAGAAGTGATGAAGGTGTCAACTAGAGTGATGAAGGTGTCAGCTAGAAGTGATGAAGGTGTCAACTAGAGGTGATGAAGGTGTCAGCTAGAGTGATGAAGGTGTCAACTAGAAGTGATGAAGGTGTCAACTAGAAGTGATGAAGGTGTCAACTAGAGTGATGAAGGTGTCAACTAGAGTGATGAAGGTGTCAACTAGAAGTGATGAAGGTGTCAACTAGAGGTGATGAAGGTGTCAACTAGAAGTGATGAAGGTGTCAACTAGAGGTGATGAAGGTGTCAGCTAGAGGTGATGAAGGTGTCAGCTAGAGTGATGAAGGTGTCAACTAGAAGTGATGAAGGTGTCAACTAGAAGTGATGAAGGTGTCAACTAGAGGTGATGAAGGTGTCAACTAGAGGTGATGAAGGTGTCAACTAGAAGTGATGAAGGTGTCAACTAGAAGTGATGAAGGTGTCAACTAGAAGTGATGAAGGTGTCAACTAGAGGTGTGATGAAGGTGTCAACTAGAGGTGATGAAGGTGTCAACTAGAAGTGATGAAGGTGTCAACTAAAAGTGATGAAGGTGTCACTAGAGGTGATGAAGGTGTCAACTAGAGGTGTTGAAGGGTGTCAGCTAGAGGTGATGAAGGTGTCAACTAGAAGTGATGAAGGTGTCAGCTAGAGGTGATGAAGGTGTCAACTAGAAGTGATGAAGGTGTCAACTAGAGGTGATGAAGGTGTCAGCTAGAGTGATGAAGGTGTCAACTAGAGTGATGAAGGTGTCAACTAGAGTGATGAAGGTGTCAGCTAGAGGTGATGAAGGTGTCAGCTAGAGGTGATGAAGGTGTCAGCTAGAGTGATGAAGGTGTCAGCTAGAGGTGATGAAGGTGTCAGCTAGAGTGATGAAGGTGTCAGCTAGAGTGATGAAGGTGTCAACTAGAAGTGATGAAGGTGTCAACTAGAGTGGTGAAGGTGTCAACTAGAGGTGATGAAGGTGTCAGAGGTGATGAAGGTGTCAACTAGAGGTGATGAAGGTGTCAGCTAGAGGTGATTAAGGTGTCAGCTAGAGTGGTGAAGGTGTCAACTAGAGGTGATGAAGGTGTCAACTAGAAGTGATGAAGGTGTCAACTAGAAGTGATGAAGGTGTCAACTAGAGTGGTGAAGGTGTCAACTAGAGGTGATGAAGGTGTCAACTAGAAGTGATGAAGGTGTCAGCTAGAGGTGATGAAGGTGTCAACTAGAGGTGATGAAGGTGTCAGCTAGAGTGATGAAGGTGTCAGCTAGAGTGGTGAAGGTGTCAACTAGAGGTGATGAAGGTGTCAGCTAGAGGAGATGAAGGTGTCAGCTAGAGTGGTGAAGGTGTCATCTAGAGGTGATGAAGGTGTCAAGTAGAGGTGATGAAGGTGTCAACTAGAGGTGATGAAGGTGTCAGCTAGAGTGGTGAAGGTGTCAACTAGAGGTGATGAAGGTGTCAACTCACCTTCACTTGCAGCCTGCACCACCATCTCACTCACCTGTTAGACAAAAAAAATACATTATACATTGGAAACAGAGTAGTGTATGCTTCTGTAGGAAGGATTTTGTTGTATTATGTTATTAGGTTTCCTTGGAAGCGCTAAACTCGTCTGCAATCATTCAGCGCAAGAAACGGTGGAGGCTCGAACCTCCGTCCGCTGATGGGAAACAAAAACTAAACGCCGTAGAACTGTACTCATGGTCAGGACCCTTCCATGGCAACTATGTGTCCTCTCCCCTGGATTCTAATATGGCAAATGGGTTCTCTCTACCTGGACCGTCCCATGGTAACTATGTATCCTCTCGAACCCTAACATAGCAATTGTGTACTCTCGATCTGAATCCTAACACAGTAATTGTGTCCTCTCGACTTGCACCCTCCCATGGCAACTGTGTACTCTCGACCTTCACCCTCTCATGGCAACTGTGTACTCTCGATCTGCACCCCTCCCATGACAACTGTGTACTCTCGACCTGCACCCTCCCATGGCAACTGTGTACTCTCGACCTGCACCCTCTCATGGCAACTGTGTACTCTTGACCTGCGTCCTTCCATGGTAACTATGTACGCTTGACCTGCATCCTGCCATGGAAACTGTATATTCCCAACCTGCACTATTCCATTACAACTTTGTCCTCTCGACCTGAACCCTCCCATGGCAACTGTGTACTATCGACCTGCACCCTCCCATGGCAACTGAGTATTATCGACCTGTACCCTCCCATGACAACTGTATCCCAACGATTTGGTATTTTCTATGGCAACTATGGTGATGACACAAAATTAATTACTGACCAACAAATTCTTGACATTGTAGCTAATTGTTATTATTATATTCTTAGGAAAGCGTAAACCCCTATGGGTCATACAACGCCTGAGGAATGGCTGGAAATCAGGTTTCAATCTGAAGAAATGTAAAGCAGCGCTAAATTCTTGAATTCGAAGCTCTTCGTTAGTATCTAGGCTCCTCCTTCCTTGCACACTAACATCCCCCGGCCTTGTTGAAGGTGGAGAGGTATTTTGAGGGGCTCAGTTCTTCATCCTTCACGAAAAGGGAGAAATAATTTTAAGGGAATCATTCCTTCATCCTTCACGGAAGGGGAGAAGTAATTTTAAGGGGATCATTCCTGCATCCTTCACAGAAGGGGAGAAGTAATTTTAAGTGGATCATTCCTTCATCCTTCACAGAAGGGAAGAAGTAATTTTAAGGTGCTTAGTCATTCAGCCTTGGCGGACGTTGCCGGGTTCCACAGTGACGATCACTGTGAAATTCAGTAAATATATTAAACACAAGCAACAGTGTGTGAGATGCAGGTCCTACGTTGAACGTGGCTCCACTATCTGTTGACCCGAGAACAGGTAATAACACTGACATATCCCGTTTCACATGTCACTTGACATATAAATGTGAAAGTTCACTTTGTAGTAGCTACTCGTCACAGTGTTGGCAAACTGTCCTCAGGCGACACCGTTCGTTTTCTTACCCGATCCCCAAAGTCAATTTATGAAATGGTTAATGGTCTATGTCGGACAGAAACGTAGTCATAAATTTTCTTTCTACTATGTGAAGGGGATGTTTGTGTATAATGAATTAGAAAAAGGTTTTATTTTTATTTAAGCTTAGCTTGGTTTATGTAAGTTAATATAATCTAACACAGGATTATCCAGCATAATCTTACACGGACGTATATTTCAGCACAAATAATTGGTAGTATGGGCAGCATATACCAATAAAGAAACTTAATTAATCCATAAACACGGTGCATAACATAAATAATTTAAGGCATAATATCTCTTTCAGTGTATACGCAATTAGTTTATTCCCTGTTTCAACGAGTGAAGTTAATATAAAAGTTAATGAGCGTGGTAATGACCCAAGTGCAAAAGATACGTCTTCAAGCCTTTAAACGCTAGACAAGCCTCACCCATCGCTACCTGTTGACTGCCAGAACTGAATATAGCTGTTATATTAAGGACTGGGTGATATGAAAGGGAGATTAGGAATGTTTTCCTAGTATTTTTTTTTTTTTCGTTCTTTTCCTCTTTCGATTTAAGGTGAGTCGTGAAGGGTTTCTCAGGCTTATCAGTAGTTAGGCACGTGCGCTGAAAACAACTAGGCCCCTAACACGGTCTCAGCCATGTGGTGAACACGCCTGGACCACTAACTCGGTGTCAGCTATGCGTGGAGAGCATACCTGGGCCACCAACACGGTGTCAGTCACACCTGGTAAACACACCTGGGCCACCAACACGGTGTCAACCACGCCTGGTGAACGTACCTGAGCCACCAATACGATGTCAGCCACGCCTGGTAAACACACCTGAGCCACCAACACGGTGTCAGCCACGCCTGGTAAACACACCTGAGCCACCAACACTGTGTCAGCCACGCCTGGTAAACACACCTGAGCCACCAACACGGTGTCAGCCACGCCTGGTAAACACACCTGAACCACCAACACGGTGTCAGCCACGCCTGGTAAACACACCTGAGCCACCAACACGGTGTCAGCCACGCCTGGTAAACACACCTGAGCCACCAACACGGTGTCAGCCACGCCCTGGTAAACACACCTGAGCCACCAACTAGGTGTCAGCCCGGCTGCCTTAAAGAGCACCTGGAGCCACCAAACCACGGTGTCGCTCACGCCTGGTAAAACACCTAGATGGCCCACCATCGGACCGGTGTGGACGGCCCGCGGGTAGAACACACCTGAACCCCATACCAACACAGTGTCAGCCACGCCTGGTAAACACACCTGAGCCACCAACACGGTGTCAGCCACGCCTGGTAAACACACCTGAACCACCAACACGGTGTCAGCCACGCCTGGTAAACACACCTGAGCCACCAACACGGTGTCAGCCACGCCTGGTAAACACACCTGAGCCACCAACACGTGTCAGCCACGCCTGGTAAACACACCTGAGCCACCAACACGGTGTCAGCCACGCCTGGTAAACACACCTGAGCCACCAACACGGTGTCAGCCACGCCTGGTAAACACACCTGAGCCACCAACACGGTGTCAGTCAACACGGTGTCAGTCAACACGGTGTCAGTCAACACGGTGTCAGTCAACACGGTGTCAGTCACTTCCTGCACAGTAAGTGAACTTTATGAAAAAAATACAAGAAATTCCACTTTTTGTCCAGACGTCCCACAAGAATTTCGTCACTAACATCATAATCTACATTATCATATTCATGGGGAAGCGTTAGTCCCGTAAGGGCCATGGAGCACCCGGGGAAATGAGAGGTAATCAAGTTTGATCCGAGGAAGGGTGAGTAGCTCTTTGCAATTCACTGGTATACCTTCAGGAAAGTTTCCTGGAGGTATACTTGGGGAATAACATTAGTAAACTGTCTCAAATTCTGATCCCAGTTTACACTCGCCACTTTTCAGCGCTTTGATCCAAGGGATTGGAGATATTATTCATATTCCCCGTACACAAGTCTGTTTAATACACAGGAATGTACAGTATATGCAAACTCCTATTTTGTATATACAGATATATATGTGAAATAGTGGCGAACAAGCAATACAAGATGCGAAACAACCACACGGGGAGTTGAATGATAGCTCTAGGCTTTTCGTATTGCATTCAACACATCAGGAGCTTTCCAATGTTGCAGAAATGAGCAGGAAGTCCAAGCAGATTAATTGACGTGTGTGTGTGTGTGTGTGTGTGTGTGTGTGTGTGTGTGTGTGTGTGTGTGTGTGTGTGTGTGTGTGTGTGTGTGTGTGTGTGTGTGTGTGTGCGCGCGCACTTATTTTTCTTTTTCTATATATCTAACCGCCACATCGTAATTGGGCCAATTAGCTGCTTGTGGTAATAACCTGATTTTCATAGTCCTGACCTTGTCTGTCGCACATCTTCAAATTCATCCCATATTCTACGATGTTCCTTGAATTTTTTTATGCTTATTAAAATTTTCAGGACTTAATTACAATTTATGAGGTTTCTTGATGTTTACAAATATTTTCAGGACTGATCATGGAATCTATCATCTTCGTTGGCCTGTATTCACTGTCAATAATTTTCGTTACGTAGCTTTAGTCTGCGTTACAGTCAAGGTGTGTTATTTGCAGTAAGAGGATACTGTAGCATCATTCAAGTTAATGTACCGAAGCAGCGTTCGTAAAAGCTACTATAATTCTGACTACACAATTTACTTTTAGTTTGATTATGTACCTGTAGATGTGCGCTTGCAAGTGCGACCTAGACTAACATTCGTGTCAATCGGTTTATGCGAATATTTTCCCGTGTAATTATAGCGAGTTATAGATACTTCGAATTCCAACTGCACTCCTATGACTTTCATATTCATTATCTGTCTTATAATAGTATTCCGAGAGCTTGGAACCGAATGAACAAAGATAAATTCAGCTTTTTCTTTCACTAGCTTTGGCTAAGTTATCAACTTCATCACGTAGGAATAAGTTAGAGTGAAATGGAAGCCACAGTAACTGTACAATGATTCCATTGTCTGTGATTTTTATCACATCTACACCTGGCTTCTCCATTGAGTATGTCGTTGAAGGTATTGTGTCACGTGGATCCAGTGTTGACACAGAGATCCTCTTCGCCACCTCGGAGGTTTCCCAGTAGAGGAAAACTTCAGTGACTGACCTGAACGAGTGTGTAAGAAAGACTGGTTGAACCGGGAAAGCATCTGCTGGGCGGAACGTATTCTCAGAGTAGTAATACCAGCGCATGTTTCTTTCATATATGTCCATAGAATAGCCCAGCAAAGCAGATGTATGAACCAAGGTACGGGTGGGGATTGAACTCACGACAAGTGGGTCGTAAAACTCCAGGCGAGCAAGTCAACATAATGTATGGGTTAGTTGCGACAATCCAAGTAGCTGTGACAATCCAAGTAGCTGTGACAACCCAAGTAGCTGTGACAACCCAAGTAGCTGTGACAACCCAAGTAGCTGTGACAACACAAGTAGCTAGTGACAACCCAAGTAGCTGTGACAACACAAGTAGC